CCTACCTACCTACCTAACTAACCTACCTACCTACCTACCTACCTACATACATACATACATACATACATATGTACGGCCTTGTTGGAGATTCTGCTACTGCGTGACCAGAAACTGACTACCTATTGGCATGAGTTCTATGCTTTGGGCGGGCGCCTTCCCGCAAAAGTTAGTGGAGGAAGGTGCGGCAAGAATTTGTGTGATGCTAAACTGATTTGTGAAGACGCGTCATTGCGTGATTTGAAAAAGCTTTTGAGTTGCATGCGTTGCTTGCAAGCAGAACTCGGACATCAGATTTGATTCAGAAGTCCAGTTCGGGCAGCCCTATTCGATATGTGTGCACGAGGCTGCCAGAGTGCTCCTGGCTTGATTTGGAGGCGCTTCGGAACGACAAAGTCCGAATCATCAGAGGGTCCACAGCCAAATGTGTTTACCCTTTAAAATTTGTTTCCAGAGCAGAACTGAGACGCAAGAAGTCTGCAGTTTCATTGTAAGCACAGTCACCGTGAAGGAAGTTACTTGTGTGGTCCAGCTGTTCCACCAGTATAGGGGCACCTTCACCTAATTTCACGTGGGTATGTAGGGTATGTTGTGCAGTTGTCGATTTCCTCTTGGAAGGTGATGCTCTGCGCCAGTCGAAAGAAGCCTGTCCCTCAACACCTAGCTCCAAGTCACCTCCTTGAGTTTTGCACGCTGGAGCTCGAGTATGGCCACGTGCCTTAGGGCCGCAAGAAGCACTGCGCGCTGCTCTGTGCTGTTGGAGGAGGTCGCCCGAGTCGCATGTTGTCATTGGAAGACATGTGACAGTCATGCGACCATCCTCCAAGCATAGCCGAAGCTCTCGCGAAAAGTTCTTCTACTTGTCGCATGTCAGGTCGTGCAGCAATTGACAGACTCTCCGTCCAAGGAGTTGATACCAAGTGTGCGAGCCTTGCAAGAGCATATAGAAGAAGTGGATGCTGCGCTTTACAGCACTATTTGCTGCCCTTTCAGCTGTGAAACCGAAGCCTGAGTTTTCGGGTCAAGCGCGCATTAGCGCGACCTAGACCGGCTATTTGTAGCAATGAGCAGCATGTCCCATCGCACAGCCGATGAACGAGTTGCAAAGCCATTTTCCCGACAAGGACTCGTTTCCTGGCTTCGCCGTTGGACCAGGCAAACTTCTACTACTACGAAGCCAGTGCATGGGAACGATACCGGTTCATCCGGGCTCGTTTCCCGGATGCGCCATTGGGCCAAGCAAGCTCCTACCAAGTCAACGACGGGCAGCAGTGGATTGTGGCGGAAGCAAGCCCAGCCTCAGGACAAGGGGCGGCGACGCAAGCCGCGCATTGCAGACTATTTTCAGTCCATCGACATTCAGAGCGAGGCTTCTTCCACCACGAGCTTGCCCAGCACTGCGTGCAGCTCGACTACCACCCAATCCTTGAGTGAAGATGAGATGTACGAGCTCTCTCCTGTGGCGAAGGTTGCGGCCAAGCCACGCAGAGCCGCAAGTGAATCCTGCTGTATGCCTTTCCTGATTTGAGGAGGTTTTGATTGATGGGAACAAGATATCTTCGGGCCGGAGGCCGGAGACCTTGTTGCTCGACCTGCGTGGTGACTTGGGGCTCGCGTAGATTGTAGAGATTCTACCAGTTTCTTCCTCCCCGAAGTCGAGGGATGTCTAATTAGGGATTGCGCACAATCCGGGCGCGTATAAAGACCGTAAAGCTTGCCCGGTACTCGGAGGGTCGTGGAAAATTTGCTTGTAGTTGGCGACTGGCTTGATTGAGACCGCTATTCGTCCGAGCTTAACTGCCTTGCGTTTGCCAAGCTAGCAGATTCCACCATTCTCCTCGACACAGCCAGTCTGTGACCTCTGCAGACACGCGGCTGCAACGCATAGGCCTGTGAAGACTTGTACGAAATCAAACGCAGCCAGGCACCTGTTTTGACCAGACTGGGCCAATCTGGACCGCCCTTGAAATCGCAAGTGCACAATGCCATCCCAGTTCATAATTGGAATTTAACCGAGTTCTTGCCGCCGGTGTTCCAAGAGAGGGCACTGGCAGCTGCATGGTTTTTATTGGATCTGGCAGAAGGCTGCCGAAAATGTGCGGCACTGATGTCGAACTTGTTGGTCACCTGAGCCTGAGCTTCTCGAGCTTTGTCGTGTCCTATGCCATGCAGTCTTCTTCAACCTGTGTCAGGCCAGAAAGCTTTACTCTCCTCTCGGGCAAGGACCATACCAGGCAACTCTTTGCGACAGCGACAGAGAAGCCCTCTGGCGTTGGCTGTGCTGTAGCTACGTGTTTTGTTGCTCTAACTGTGTGGTGGCGCAAATAGTGAAGCCACAGCTGCCTTTCTAACAGGAGCTCGTTGATGCAGAGCTCTTCATTGGATTCTTCGAGGGAGAAGAGGGTGTAGTTGGAATTTCCGTGAAGCCGATGCCTGAGACAGTCTTCTATTGCTGCGTGCTCGTTATGCTAGTCGCAGTCATTGCTAGATTGGGGCTCTTGCCGCTGCTGGTGAGCCTTTTGTGACAGGCATGCCCAGGTAAGCATCCAAAACGTAGCAACAAGAAATAGCAGGAATGGAGGTCCTTGACGTTCCAATATGCTTCGGACAGTAGTTGGAGCCGCCGGAGCATCACTCCGCAACACCTGTATCGAGTCAGGTCGGTCCATGCCGAGCTCTCAGTCGAAGCATCGATACCTCAGACAAGACGGTGCATGGGCTATGATCCCACACCGCGAACATGAGTGCTGTCAGACGACCTTTCAGTCCTGGAACTGGGTGAGGAAGGTGCCAGATCAGGGTCCGGGGTTTTTAGGGAGAGTGCATCCTGGAAAATCCGATTGATTTTCGCGAGTCACCTTCAACCAGCATTGTTTCCGAGGGCCTCACAGTCGGCTTCACAAACCCTACGTTTGTTCGTGCACGCCTGAGCTGCAGCTGTTAACCACCATCCCGCGTCGCATGCAGTCGCACACCCGAGGTGCGACTCTTCGTCAAAGCTGTGCTGGGGCAGTGCCAGCCCGAGTTGGATAGTTGATAGGTTGCAGTAGACCTGGGTGGGTACTTTCATGGATGGATAAACAGATGGATAGACAACCTGATGTACGCGTGCGTTACGTATATTATATACCTACAGGTGTATGCACAGGAGTTTACACTTCTTGCCCGAAGACGATGTCAACCAGTACCAATCGTGCAGCAATGTGCAGCACGTCCCAATGTTCAGACCCATGGGTTAAGGTACAGAGTCTGCCGGCCAAAGTTCGAGACGTCACGGAAGCGAGGGCCACATGCTTCGTGGCAAGAGCATGAAAGAAGTGTACTTTCCGAACCGAGGTCAGAAGCCAGACCGTGAACCCTCACTGGGGCGAGATTTTAGAGTTCGAGGCATCGGTGATCAGTGTTTGTAATGTATGCAGAACGCGCTGCTTCTTGGCCTAAGCTTGTCGCGCAGATTCCCGTCTTCGTCGGGGATCGCCACGTCTCGCACAGTCCTGACTACCGCCACACCCCCGGCCAAGCGTAGCGGTTCACAGTCCGTTTTCCTGCTTGCGCAATGTCCACCAGGCCTTCACTTTCAGCTGTTTGGCAAGGAGCGGATGCTGCTCGGCTCCCCCCACGCCGATGCCGGCTATTCTTACCTGCCTGAACCATGTTTCGCTCCAAATCTGAGGAACTCCGACAAACTCCTGGCAGAGCTGTTCATACCGCTAGCAGATGCTATCCGTGCAGACGGCCAGAAGGCAGCACCAACCTTGAAGGGGCAAATAGCTGGAGTTTTGCCATAGAACTCAGCCTGGAGAAGTTTGCAGAACCAGTGGCGAAATCGTTCAGGCACAGTCCTTCGAACTGAAGCCGACAGAGCAGCTGTTGCGGGCCTGCTCCACAGTCAGATTCGATGCGAATGAATATCAGGGCCAAGCCTGCTGTCATCTCGCCGGCAAGTCGACAGTGAGCTAAAGTTGCGAAAGGAAGGAAAAGACGAGCTAGATTGTGCGTCCGTTTGCGTTCAAACGGGTGAATCCCCGTCATGTTGAGGGCAAGAAGGCCAAGAGAAGCAGTGCCGGAATCTCGGTTAAGATACAGTTGCAAGCAGGCAAGACCTGTTGGCTGGTTGGGCCGGATGCTGAAGTCCCATGCCGCTCACGGAGGGAACGCCACGAGCGAAGCAGTGGAGCCGTAGCTAGTGCAGAAACAGGATTTGCGCGGCGGCCACTAAACAGTGCTCGCGAGCTTCCACCGCAACCGATAAGGCAGCGAGCGACACGGTGAAGCCCCCAGTTTTCATTCGGTGTCCAACTCTAATGCAGTGTGCAGATGCCTGACTTTGTGTGCTGAACGGGTGTCCTGTAGAAGTGCTTCTTATCATTCCATGTCATGTCGCTGCGTCGAGCTTCATGCCGAAAAGTATCAGTTGTCACTGTGTATTGCCGAGTGCCAGGACAAGCCAACTCTCTGCCCACACCTGAGCCTCAGCTTGCCTTCGGCTCGCGCTGAGTGGCCGCTTTGATTGTCGGGCTTGGCTATGGAGAGATGCGTGCTCTGCAGCTGCAACTCTGCAACTCTGCGCCTGGCGATCTGCCATGGACGCATTGTGGCACCCCATGATGAAACTCTCATTCGCGCCGTTTGTGCACGCAGCTTCTGAGGTTTGGCCTTCCAGGCCATCGTGCAGGGCGCTGAGAACTGTCAACATGCTTACGCCGGAGCAGCCCCCCCCAAAAGGTTCCTGAACTGGAATGGGTGCCACAAGTAATCTGCTCATTTTGAATGCCTCCGAGCCAACATCTTGTCGAGAGTCTACATCTCCCTCGAAAGCCTTAGTGGCAACTCTGCCGCAAGCTGCAGTCCACATGAAATCGAAGAAACTCCACTTCACTTGCATTTGGCGTCTAGGGCCTAGGGGAGTTTTGAGGCCCTGTCCAAAGCAGATTCAGTGCACAGTGGAGCGTGCGCTCCTCGGCAGACTGCACATCGCAGCAAAATGGGCCAAGCACGGGTGTGAGCAGTCCTGGCTCTATGGTCCGCGGCCTTTGATGTGTTATTCTCAGCCTTTGATGAATCACTTGCACGTTGGAATTTGGCAGGTCTCGACAATGTTAAGTATGCCGGCACCAGTCTGAGTGAGAAGATGCTACAGTACATTCACTGACACGCCTCTTCGTGGTTAGCACCTGCAGTGCTATCTGCTTCTCTTTCAGGCACAGTGGACAAAAACCTTCAAGTTCGGATGTGCTTTGTGGAAGGCGATGCGATGCTGCCCTGGCCTCAGCTTGCTTTTGCAAAGGGCATGAGAGCGAGACCGGGCGCAGGTCACATACGACAGTGAGAACTTCCGTGAAGCAGCAAACAGTCAAACCGGTTCGCGACTCGGGAGTCAGCTGCGTTCTCGGGTCGACGGCTTTTGAGAGCGACAGGTCTGGAAGCAACGATGTGTCTTTGACATGCCAGCACAGTCCTGGCCTATGCAAAGGAACACTTGGGTACCGTGTCATTGTCGTGAGAGGCCATGTCCATGACACGTGGGTGGTTCAGGATTCCAGCCTGACATGAGGCTTCTGCGCTCCGACTTTGAACCTCGCCCTCCTTCTGTCCGGAAGGGATGGGTGCACGACACCAGGAGCCTCGTGCCTTGCCCTGTGTCGAGATCTTGTGAACATCTGATAGCCTCGAAGACTCTGGGCTACTTTCCTGACCTGCCTTTGGCTCGCAGTTCGTAGCATGGGGCGCAGCAAGTGCATGAATTCAAGAGACCTGGCCGCCTCACCATCCAAGGTGGGGGCCTTCCCTGTGAGCGCTCAGGGCTCAGGGTCCATGAGAATCGGCCCCCGGAGGTCGGCCATGGTGGCATCTCGATCGCCTTCAAGATCGCCTACAAAGACACCTCGCACGCCGAGGGTGCAGAAGACAGCTCAGACTGCGCTTCTGGAGGAAATAAGGGTTTGAGCCAAAAACAGCTTCCCTTTTTGAGGCGAATCTCTGATGAAGCTCTTTGCCTTCAGATGCAGCAGCTCGGGCCTCGGCGCTGCGGTGCCCAGGGTTTGGGCACATCCCAAGCTTTCGGTCAGGTTCCTGGACAACTGGCACTATGTGGTCATGAAGAGCTCTCTGGGAAAGACCATGGACCGCCTCAAGGCTTCGGCAGCGGACTCACCCTGTCATTTTTGCCCTGACCCTGCAAAGCAGACTCTTTGGCTCAGATCATCTCTGTTTGAAGAGTTATCGACGTCTCAGAGCATCGGCCAGATGCGTCATGATACGCTCTTCCAAACGGTCGCGACCCATGCGGCCCGGAGTCTGAAGGCCATCTTTGCCAACATCGTTAAGATACGTCATCCGGAAAGAGAATACATCGGCTCGAAGCCAGCCATGCGCCATCGTGCTGTGCTGGTGCTGGTCCTCTGGGTGTGTCTTGATCGAACCGCAATTCTGCAGTGTCCAGAAACTGACGGACAAAAGATAGGGACGGCACGCGTAAGGTTTGCCAACTTCGCGAACCTCGATGATGGAGGCTTGAGCCTCATGCTTAGGTGATTAGCTAATACGGATGCGCTCATATGCATGCACGTATGCGTGTACTTCTCTTGCGCGGCAGGCGCCCTGAGTAAGCGATGCGGCCTATCGCCAGGCCGTCTTCTGCAGAGGCAGCCCCTTGTTACTTGGTGTGCTGCAGCTGCCTGTGTGGTTCCTGTCTGTTTTTAAGTGAGACCTGCCTCCTGTGTTCAAGTTGGAGGCGAAGTATTAGTGGCCTAGCAGCGACGGCGATGTGCCTCGAATGAGTGCTTCGGAAAATTTTGTTTTTTGTTGCACCTCGGCTCATGTCCTTTGCGTGGTAGCTTGCTAAGCAGCCGCAGGGCCTCGGCTCCGGCAGCAAAGGACACTTCCCATCGGTCCGCTATGCCCCTTCCGCTCAGAATTCTGGTCTGCGGAAGCCGTCAACAACTATGCCGCCGAGATGCCCATCAAGCCACCTTCTTGCAAATAAATGCCAGACATGGGCTGGGAAGTTGAAATTATGAGCAGCCAGAGACTGTCGCGAGGCAAAGGCGCCTCACCGAGCTCATGTCCAAATTGCAGCAAGGAACTCCTCTGACTCCCGAGGCCGACGCTGTCCGTGTTCAGCGTTGAAGTAAAGACAAGCAGTCTAATGGAGTTTGAAGCTGGAGGAACAATCTGAGATGTGCGGCTTGGCGGACGAGCTTTTGCCCAGTGGGTGCCAGCTGTGTGTGTTGCTTACTACTCACTGCAACATCAGGTCGGGACATGCGGGAAACTAACGACATGTGGCTTGCCACGAACTTCCGATTGAGACGGGCCGACGACTTTCAAGCCCTCGAGCTCTTTGCCCTCACGGAGGTGCACCGCACTTTCTGCCACACGGTCACAATTGATCTTCTCTCGGCATCAGGTCCGGATGCAGAAGGGCGGGTTGAGCATGGATGCAGTCGAGGCCTGGCGAAACTCGCACACGCAGAAGCCCACAATGTCAATAGCAGCACCTAGCTGACATAGCTACCTAGCTATAGAAACAAACACACACACACAGACACACAGACACACATACACAGAGACACACGTACACACACGTACACACACACACACACATATATATATATACACACATGCACAAGTGTGCATATGCACATGTATATATATATATGTATGTATATCTATATAGCTAAATGTATGTTGTAGATTGTAGCTGCTGTAGCCATAGGTCTATGGGACATTAGCGTTGTCAGGTCAATCTAAAATGACGGGATTTTAGCGACCTAACTCCAATTCGATGAATCAACGTCAAGATCCGTAGATGTTTTGTGTTAGCCGCCTGTTTGACGGGAGGCGCTCATGAAGTGGCAGCCGGAGCAAATGGCCGCCATGCTCCAGGGCCGACCTCCTCCACCCCTCCCATCGGGACTGAAGCTTTGCTTGAACGGTTTCTACCCCTTTGAGCATACATATATAGATAGAGAATATCTCTATCTATGCATATCCACAGAGGAGTTATTTACTGACACAGATAATTACACGTACGGGGATACAGATGGAGACATGGGAAGGGTGTTCTGTGTAGGGTGGAGGGTTTCGGTCGAAAAGCCACCCAAGGAGCCCAGCGGCCATACAGCCACTTGGTCATGAACCGATACTTAGTCTTCAATGCTACCAGTTTCGCCAGACTCGAGGCAGATGACCCAATCGTTGCCATCTGCCGGGACCCCATCCTCTTTGTCCGAGAGGCTGATAGATGTACATGATACTACAAGTACATCACATGATGTCGCTGTTCTAGCAACCTTGCGGGAGCAAGGCGAGTATTCAAAGAAGAATCGGGAGAGCTATCCGAGGTAATGTCAGCTACATCCTCGGACGCAGGGCCAACCTCACCGCCCTTTACAGCCAATGCAAAAGCACCTCAGATGCACGCAAGATGTCTTCAGTCTGTGTCCTCGACCGCGTGAACTGGGCTTCGGGGAGCAAGCAGCATGCCGCATTGTACTCCCATGCTTCCAGCAAAAGGGCAAGGATGGCTTCAGAAACGCACAACCGCGAAATGGCGAACCTCCCTACTCTTTCGGGCAACACAGGCGCGGCCATTCTTGGGTGACACCTCTTCGTTCGGCCAAGAGCCGTGCAGACGACGCATGCGTGGCCCAGCGAGCCCCCGCCACCCCGAGAGCCCCGATGGGCACCACATGGGCAGTCGTTTCTCGTCATTGGGGCTGGCTGAAACCCCACCTGGACGTGATGCGGCTCATGTGGCCAATGTGTGGCCCTGGCATCCACGCCAATTGATTTCAAGATGCCGAGGCGTACCGGTCAGGACGCAGTGGCTCGAGGGGGTAGAACGGTAAGGCAAGGGCCATTTTGGGCCATCCAATACCCCGAGCCTGCACCTGAGCTCTCCTGCTAATTAGAGTCTCTGATTAGGATCTGCTCCTAGGGGTACAATTTCTGGCTTCGATGCCAAATGTCAGGGAGTCAGATGATATGCTGTGTGCAATGGCTCGTGTTGTTGTCTGATTCCCAAACTGGCACGTACGAAACTGGACCCTGGGGTAAGGCCCTGGAAAGCACCGTTGTGCAAGACGAGCTCGAAGCGTTGACCAGAGACCACGAAGGTCCGGTTCTTTCGAACTGAACTGCAACTTAGAATTGTGGACAGTGGGAGAGGCTGGACGGTTCTGTTTTGGCAATGTTTGTGGTATAGGGCAAGAACTGAGCAGAACGATATCGACAGAGTCATGCATGTTATGTATGCGCATGGCAAGAACAGGTCAGTGTGCAGTGTAGTGTCAGTGCGTTCCAGTCGGAACTGAAATCCTATATGTTCCTTAGCGAAGTATGACGTCAGGTCTCATCCGAGCCTCGGTTGCATATCAGCACGAGAGGGCTCGAAGTTGGGAAGATGGAGAGTAGGTATACGAAAGTGCCACGCTTGCATGTCGCTGCTCACCAATCCCTCTCTCGGATATGGCAGGCTCGTTTGTCTTTCGTCCTCAACTCAGGATTCGGAGGCAAGTACCGCGATTTTGACCCTTTGGGGAAGCAGGCCTACCTGGATCAGGTCGCTCTGATCCAGGACCGAGAGTGTATTGGCTTGGAAATTGTGGCCACGTTGCAAAACCAAGCAATCTCACACGTCCAGCGGTGCAGATACAGGGAATTCCCACCATCCGATTCTACCAGGACCGATGGCGAGTCTTCATCGGCAGGTTCCAGCTCATGGGCGCCCCATGGTTGCTCCAAGCCATTCTCGTGCCCTTCTTGTTGTGATGAGGGGAAGGGGCGGGATAATGCGGGATACTTGTACAGCACAGGGGCACAAGCCTGAGCGCCCAAGGAGCTAAACCCGGACTACGTGGCGGAGTGCGAACGCTACTTGCAAAGTGCCCCTCGGTGTTACTCAGGGTAGCCAGTTCTCCCTCCTTTCAGCATCGCGCTATGCGGCTTTGTTTTCAGGTTGGCATGACGATCGACCAGTTTCACGAGCATCTCCAAGCGACACACGACAAGATGAGAGCAGATGCTGAAGATGAAGGGCTCAAGCGTTGAGAGAACATGAGAACGTGGACATGGATTCGAGCACCAGGCTTTCCGACAGAGGGCTGTTGGCCGAGCAGCACCTCCTCACTTCAGCAGCATCACACCTGCCTCGTGGAATCCATCGTGCGCACCGCACGACGGGCGGTGGGCAACAGATGAGCAGTGAGAAGTGCTGACCACGAAGATGGATCAGGTCAAACGATGCCTCCGCTCCAGTGAGTCAGCTCCGAAGGAACCCTCGCAATCGTGCTAAAAATTGTCCAAGCTTTGGGCGGTGGATGCAGGGTTTTTTTGCAGGGTGGCCGTAGATCCACTAGCACTAGCTTGCTTCGCCTTTTTTTTCTTGCAGCAGGTCGTCGAGGCAGCCCTTCAGGTCCTCGCGCTCAACGGGGTGCCCATCAGAGCAGAAGAGCCGCTCAGCGCGCTTTATTTCAGTCTTGGTCACAAAAGTCCCAGTTGCGTTGCTATTGTTCTTATCTATGTGTGCATGCAGTGGCTTTCTGGCGAAAGTCTGCGTGCTTTGCACTGCACCACTCTAAGGATCCCAAATCTGGTGCAGGCAGATGCCCCTTGGCACTCTATACCCCTATCATGACCAATGATGATTCATCATCTGACATCATAGTGCAGCCGGTCGGGAATACCAGACTGCATTCGTATGATGCTAGAGAGGGCGAGCGAGGACTTCCCGCGCCTTGTAAGGAAGAAGTCATGATCTACGAGGTCATTGACAGGATACCCGAAGGCTCAGAAGTCATGGGCTGTGAGCTCCCCGTTTGATTATTTTTGGCAAATTTTGAAGGCCTGCGAGAAGGCTTCGAGCACCTCACCCTTGAGCTCATCGTTGTCGTCACATCTGCGGCTCGAATGAGGTGCGAAGGCTTAGCTTTGAGGCGGAGCTCAGGCGAAAAGCAGGTATTCCTGAAGGAGATCTGAGAGCATCCAGCGTCCCTGATTCCGCACAGGACAACGATTGAGAACAACGATCCAGGGCCTATCCAGGCTCTTCGCTGTCCTCACACTTCCGTCGCTAATGCTACCTGTAGGCTGTATCGAGCTCAGCCACTTTTGCTCGAAATGCACCACGAGGCGTTGCTCGAAGAAGAGAGTGGCACCGCATTCGGCCAGTCGACGATCAAGCGGGCCATTCTGCAGGCACGGCTAGGTGAGCTTGCAGCAGGTGTTCAGCATCTCGGGCAACTTTGGGGTCATGTTTGTAGGAAGTGCAGGGCTCACGTGTCTGACCGCACCTACAGCAATCTTTTGTCCTGACCCTCCCCAAGCCACACCGTACACCGTGGATGGTGGTCTCTGACGGTGCGCACCGTTGACAGGCTGCCACCGAAGTAGCGAAGACCATGCGGTGCAAGGACCAGTAGTGCGAACCGGCAAATCCAAGACCCCACATGACCACGGTTGCTCTCGGTGCACTCTCACAACACCCTTTCCTGCAGGAGACTTGGGTCCGGAACTCAGGAAGGCTGAGGGTGGGCAGTGCTCTCACACGCAGTGCCCAGCACCGCTCGTCGGTTTCGTTGGTAACTTGCGCTGAGGCGCCGAACATGGCACAGCGATTGGATCGGCTGAATAGATCCGCAGAGATCGCCGAGGAGTCGAACAAGAGGCTAGTCGTGAGGGGCGAGCTAATAGGATGGCATCGCACTTTAATTCCTACACGTGCAGTGACAAAGCTTGCTCACGGTTCCAAGATACCTGACATAAACTAAACTAGATAATAGTTGTGGAGCCCGGCAAAGCCCAGTGCGAGCCACGTTTGCAAGTGTGCGAGGCTGCTCGTTGTCGAGGCATGCGGGCCGAGCGAGCTGTCTACAATGCCTCCTCATGATTTCTCACGATGGCATCCGCGATCAGGGTTGAATGCTTTTGGAGTCTTCTTGTCACCCGTCTCGATCCGTTGCATGCCAGGCGCAGCTGAATGATCTACCCGAACAGCGAACTCACAAAGCAAAGCAGGCCATGGAATGAACATGTTTGAATGAGATCTGCATGTCCTTGATAATATGTTCTTCCTCTTCACTCACGTGCATGCTTCAAGCAATTGCTCCCCACGGATGTGGCTGCAGTCGACGCGTCATGTAAATTGACCGTCGAGATTATCGTGGCTTCATTTCAGGCACTGATGGGCTTTGTGGGGACGAATAAGCAAGCTCTGAAAGAAGCCGCCGGCAGCACAGCATCAGGTCGGAGGGGTTTTCAAGAAGGAAGGTCGCATTTTAGTTCGCACCTGTTCATGGCTTTTGCCACATGCATGCCAAATCTGGTGCACTCTGGCCGTAGCCTCCTGACATCCCTCGTGTTCCATGCTCCCGGGGTCCCGACTTTGCACCGAGGCGTGGGCTTCCTGGCACGGTGCCATGCTGAGGGGCAAGGCAAGACCCAAGGGCTGGCAGAGCCAAAGCGTCTCAGTACTCGGAACTCACGGCGGCCCAGCGGCCGTGGAACTAGGGCGAGCGGAACCTGCGCGAGCGCTACACACGTGAAGTGGAGGAGCCGCTGCTGCCGCTGCCCGGACCCCGCGTTTTTCTGCTCGCACTCGCCTCGCAGGAAGCAGAGACCGCGCTCGCAGACTTCAAGGCAGTGCCACCATGCGACACTTTCCAGGTAACATCCCACGATCCACGCAGACCGTTGCACAGGCAGCACATCTGAATCGCATCCGCGGGGTCATGTTCCAAGCTGCGACGCGAGAAGAACTGGACCGGAATCCTAAGTCAGCTGGATTCGCACTGGATTTGCAGACTCACGCATCGGGTCTGATCGAGCATCGAAACAGCAGAGCCAGCAACTCCTCCTGCCTCAGCGCATGCGCAGGACCTTTTGGTGGGCATCATATCCGGATGGAGAGGCATCGTTTTGCAGCAGAAGGCACCCTCGGCTGCAAATTTGCGTCAACACCAATTGGAGGGAGCAAGTCTGCAGGCAGAGGCGTGGACGGCCGATCGCGTCCAAGCGCTCCAGATAACCATTGGCAGGCTCGATACAGAGCTTCGAGTCTTCGACTCGAGGGTCATCGGGCACAACGTGCCTCTGCCAGGACAGCGAAGGACATGTGCGCAAAGCTGAAGCAGGCCTCAGAAATTTCCTGTATCACCCGATACATCGGTATCCTTCTGTGCTTTACTGATTTGCAAGTGGAAGGTGATGATGCGAATGCTTCTGGACTACCGGGGATCTTCAACTTCGGCCGCTTTCGCTGCATGGGCCGCATCCTGAACTTGGATTCGCCTGACTGATGGGCAGTGGTCTTTTGCATCCGCACCACATTGCTTGATTTATCGATGTGGCAATTCAGGTCCAGTTTAGTGAGGCGTACAAAAAGGACAAGGACTTTGAGGACAGTGTGAAGAAGTTTGAGGGTCAGATGAAGGCCGGATACACATCTAAGTTCATGGAAACGGCCTGTCTGAGTGCAAGAACCAGGCATACATGGAGAAAAAGAAGGAAGATGCCAAGCTGATGCTCTCCAGGGTGTCTGCCCCTTCCCCAGGGCTGTGGGGAAGAGTTCTCTCAACTGGGTAGGTTATCGAGGCCTTCATACGAAGGCCATATGCCCTTGCCGCTGATCTCATAATGCGACTTGCGACTATGCCCTGTCTAGAATGACTTTCAAACTGTCTTCAGTGCCGTTCAGGTCTTTCTTTACACTGCCAGATTGTTGTCTATGCTACCAGTATTTTCTGATGTTACATGCGATCCGGCAGCGCTCTATATGTAGCTATGTAACATACGTGATACGTATCTTGGGACACAATACTATTCAGATCTCTGCATCTTTGTACAGGTATAAGTCTTACCGGACAGTACGCGACAAGACGAGATGTCACTAGATACAAAGGGCCTTGTGTCAGATACGAGAAGTTGCCATGTTCCTAGGTTTGATTCGATGATGTGCCTATCGTATCATATCATCACAGTTCTGCCTCACTGCATTTCTCACGCAGTACATTCCATCTTTGCATGGTGCTCTCTGCGACAGCATAGAAGTAGTTCGTGCTAACAAATCATGAGGCCGCCACAGACACCGGCCTCCTGCAGCAATCTTTCATGGCATGGAAGCCTGGATGCAATTGGCTTCTTCGGGGTCATGCCTGCAAGTCGCATTTTCTCATGTTACAAGGCTTTGCACATGCTTGTGTAGGATAAACGATGCTGGTATAAAACGGGCGAGTGACTAAATTGCACCACTTGCCTGCAGTACTTGTCGTGTGCTGTTTGTGCTGTCCAATCGTGCGGAGGGTGACCCTTCCAGATGCCGAACACACTGTTCCATCTAACCAGCAGCACAATACCGCCGAGGCCTGCAGCACAGTTCTTTTTGGGGGCTACCGTCTGTTTGCAGTCTTCCAGGTCATGCGAAACCAAAGGAGTTGTTGTAGCAGTGCCCGGCTGCCAAGTTGCATGAGTCATGGAAAGCGCGCAGTCTGTGCTTTCTGCCACCCGGCGCTGTCGCGCAGTCTCGAAACATCTCAACCAGACTCAACCGAGCACTCCACCCCTCCAGAGAAGCGCATGTGGGTTCGTTGATTTTCGTTGGCTTGATGCAAGTTGAGCCAAGCTCACTTGGACGCGAAGGAGCCGCATGTGGAACAACGACCCAACTGGTCGCTAATTGTAACTAACTGACTAACTGACTGCACTGCACAAGTGACATGCCCGGCAAAACGTTGGACCGGCGGTTGACGCAAACGAGCGCTAGCGCCAAGTGCCCCCGGAAAGAAGGGAGGACCAGGGAGGAGGTATGCAAAGGCCAGGAACGCAAGACGTGGGTAAGCCCGGGGCCTTGGTCTTGTGCCGAAGTCTTTTGACCTGGACTGGCCCTAAGCACGGCCTGTTCATTGCTTCGACTGATTCTTGTTGCTTCTTCGTGCCAGCGACAGGCATTCGAGAGGGTTTAGTCGGCTTGGGCTGCCCTTGTCAGTGTCCTGCAATGAATCATTGTAGTCGTAGGTTTGTGATGGCAGCTTTGCCATACCACTCAGGCTTACTGC